AGGATTACTAGTAACTCTTTTTTGCTTGAACAAGTTACCAGCCTATTGCAAAACCCCTCATCTTACAGGACCAAGATTTTTATTCAGAGTTTCTTCCCTTAGGTTGCCTACCGTGGCTAATGAGTTTTGTCTACCCACTGTGTAACCCTCGGAAAATGCCTTTACACGGTACTACCCGCCTGTCTGAAATATTCTTTCATTCTCTGCCCAGCATTGATAGACTTTTTAAAAGGACAAGTAAATACAGCTCTTGTACTTTTATTTCTGAGACACTCCATGTATTAATGTAGTGGTATTATTCAAAGAATATGTCAGATTTTTATGATCATGCAAAGCATGGTTAATGTTATTTACAGGTTTATCACACACTAATTCGAAGTATATAAAATTGATTTGATTGATTGTTGTGTTTGGTGGTCTGTGAGAAGATTGAGATTCTTGGTCGCCTTTGCAGAATTTAAAATAAGTATTGATGTCTGTAGCTCAAAAGTACTATTGTATTTATAGTATGGAAGAGGGGGACCTTAAACATGGACAATAATAGGAAGATTTTATGCTAGAAAGGAATATAAATAGAAACCTTTGTTAATCTGAGAGGTTCAGGTATGCTATTTAGTTAATATTGTATTTAACAATAATTTGTATAATTTATACATGCCACTGTATACAGAAATTAAGCAACATGTTCACTGTATAAATGTTCCAACACTTCTCTTTCATTCCAGTACTTGTTTTGTACACAGTCTTAAGGATATTCAGATGTAAAATTCAAATACAGAAGATGTTTTTGAATGATGTGATAGAGAGTAGATGTTTACAGCAGAAGGGAAAATTTGTGTTTATAGCAAAGGGGAAAATTGATGTCAATGATGTTATACATCATATAAATTCAAGTTTCTGGTACTGGAGGATCTGTGTTGAGTCGAGACTGGTAATGGCATAATTTCACCAAAGAAGTCTGTTGAGTTCAGTTCAATAAAACATTGTAATATAAAAGATAATATTTTAAACCATTGTTCAGGTATATTTGTTGTTGAATAGTTACAGTTGTGTAGATTCTAAGACCTTACTTGTCGTTTACTTTTTATTGCAGTTTGACCAGGAAAGACGTGAGTCATATTTATAAAGCTCAGTATTGATGGAGGTGATCAAAAATACTGCATTGGAGTGATGGAATTATGTCATATATGGCTGATTGTAGAAAATGATGATTCAGGTGGAAGTATTGTACTGTTACTTAAAATGTACCCAAGTACCTCATTAAAGAATGCACTTTGGGCACATTTTAAAAGCTATAAAATAGTGTATTATATACTTTGTTGTAATTATCTATTGTAAGTTATACAGGGTATATGGGGCTATATATATAATTGTAATGTATTTTTCACAACTGCACAATATGAATATATAAATATACAGATATATAATGTATTTTTTAAAAAATAGCACTTAAATAGAGTTATATTGAGTACAAACCAATCAAATAACTATGGATATAGTATTAAATTCAGGTTGGTTGAAAGTACTTAGATGTAATATTCACAGTAAAATATTCCTCTCGTTGATTGGGAATCAGTTTCATACATCTTGAGTAAGTAGTGCTATTGTTAGCAGTGTTCTGCAGTTCTTGCACTTGAGGACCTTTGGCTCAGAATTATACATGTATTATGTTTTAAGCCAGGACTTGTTAATGAGCAAAAGTGCTAATGCAGTCATTTCTCTCAAACTTCACCGTCCCTACTTCATTACCATTTAATTTTATACCTAGAAATTCTGTTTTGGGGAACATACATAACCTGTACGTTTTCACTTTTATGTTTTACATTCGTAGTTGAAATGTTAGCTTTTTAAAACACATTACATGACTTTGAATTCTCTTTTTCCTTTCTATATTTATGGTATCACATTTATTTATTTATTGTATGTGACAGGTGTGATTAAAATTTAACTATACTCTTAGTATGCTTGAAGGCTTGCATCGAATATGCATTCATTAGTACTTTGTAATTGTTTCTTACTGTACAAAATTTAGCCTGAATAAGTTGGTATTCCTGACTGTAAAGAAACTTTTAAACTATGGGTAACATTTTTTGTGATGTGAAAGAAAAGTTTTTCTTTCTTTTTGGGTGCCTCAGTTTTATATTGTTAACATAAAAATGCATATTTATGTTGCATTATTACACTATTTATATGATGCAGTTATATGTTCAGTTGTATTACATCAGTTATGTGTGAACCTTGGCTTAGAAATAAATGGGGTACCTTGTTTTATCCAGGTTGTGTTTATTTCTGTCTCTTAAATTAATGTTTTAAAATGAAGATTTAGTGTATGGATCGGCTGGAAGTTGAAAAAAAGTGTCTGTGGTCTCTGTTATAAAATTGTTCAGCCTGTTGCTTGACACAGATAAATTGTTACGCGCTAGAATCATAAGTTAACTCTTTAACATTGTAGATGGAAAATTCTGGTGTGTAGCCCTCTGTGCATTATGCCAAAATAGGTAATGATCAGTGATAAGAGAGGAGTAAATTAGAAGGACTGTAGAGTTATACATGTGTAGAAGTATTATGAGACATAATGAAAGGGGAATTCATGTCTTAAATATTGAGCAGTCCCCCCAAATCAATTAAAATATGTGGAGCCCATGTTGACAGTAGATACTTGAGTTACTTCAGAACGTAGTCAACGTTGGAATTGAGGTACTTGTATCGGGGAGTAAGATTTTATATGCCTGTGTCAAAGAAGTCTGCCGCCTGTGAACTTAGCGACGTTTGACACCCATCCATTCCACATTAATGTTGGTGCTGTAGTCTAGGGTGACAAACTTTCGGTCATGAATTTAAGGGAGATTTAGTCACGACAAATTTTGCGCATTTTTAGCGGTGCGGCGTCAGTCCAGCAAACGTTCATGGAATGGATAATATTAAACAAAACAATTAATTTACATTGTATATAATATTCAGGTCACAATATAGAATAAATTTTACAAATTTGCATGTTTCTTAGTCCTAACCTATATGTATTTGTCCACTGATGCTGCATAACTAAGCATTTTTTTATCTTCTTGTGCACATTTAAAAAACTCTTTACAGCTGTAGTCATAATTAATTGCTACCATTAGCTCTGACTTAATTAGTTCTAAGCTGCTTTGATTTCTCTGATCAGTCCATTTATTGCTCATCAGTGAAAAAATCTTTCAGTATGGGCATTTGAGCCTGGGATGCTTAAAACAAAGCCTAAGATCTTAATAAGGTTTGGCACATCAATTTGTTTGTTTCTTAAATCACTGAAAATATTGACCCAACTTTGTTCTATATGTCCTGTTTTTACCACATTCAGAACTCTTTTTGCACTAGAAAACTCTTCACACAGGCTGTCCTCATTTACAGAATCAAGATTAAATCCTTTTACAATGGTTTGAAAATGTCTGAAAGAAAGTTCTGTGTTTAAATTTAATGGTAAANCTAAGTCTAAACTGTCGATAATAATGACAGTTTATATCGGAATGTATTTGGCGGGAATAAGATATAATTTAAATTTTGCGATCTTGATTGTTAATGAAATATACGGGAGAAATAGAAGGTCAATACGGGAGCTGAGAGGATCCAAAAATTTAGCTCTAATAGGGAGATCCCGGGAAATACGGGAGAGTTGGTCACCCTACTGTAGTCCCAACCATTTCTTCAGGAAGGTAAACAGTTGGTAGCCGCTCGGCGCGAAATAAGGGCTCTAAGGATGGTGGTCAGACACCTCCCGGTTGAAATGCTCCAGGAGTGCTAGAGTGCGAGCAGCTGTATGCGGACACGCTTATCATGCAAGAGCACTACACCGGATGTCAGCATTCTGAATTTTTTGTTCTGAATGGCTCTATGCAGTTTTTTCAGTGTTTCGCGATACACTACTGACATTGTGGTCCCTTGTTGCATGAATTCCACCATCAGTACTCCTCTGCTGTCCCAGAAACCAGTTGCCACCAGCTTTCTGGCAGGCAGACGTTTGTTTAAAATTTGACGGCTTGTTTGATGAATGTGTGTGCGTCCACTGCTTTGATTGCTGACTGCCCTTTGGTTTCAACATTCACAAATGAAACACAGGTTTCGTCACCTGTTACTCGTAGGATGTGATTGGGAAATTCATTGCCATCTTTGTGGTATCACTCCAAGAAAGTCAAAATCGAAGCCCTTCTCTGTTTTTTATTCGCACCCGTGAGCATTTTCGGAAACCATCTTTGGTAAAACTTGTGATAGCCTAGCCTAACTGTGATAATTTCATAGAGTACAGTGCGTGAGATTTGTGGAGATTCACATGAAACTTCTGAAATTGTGAAGCGCCGTCTTTCAGAAATTTTTTTGGTCAACATTAAATAAGATGATTACACTACAGAGGGGCACGCGGTAGCGTAGTTGGTTGAGGGACTGTGCTACAAGTCGGAAGGTCGTGGGTACGATTCCCCATGAAGTGGATTTTTTCAACTGACCTAATCCTTCCAGTCGCACTATGACCCAGGGTTGACTCAGCCTCTAACAAATGAGTACCAGGAATTTTCCTGGGGCTAAAGGGTGGTCGGCGCTTAAGGCTGACAACCTCACCGCCATCTGTGAGCCGAATGTCTAGAGAAGATGTAGGAGCAAGTCTCACAACCTTATGGCCCTTTACGGCCTGTTGCAAGGATAGCCTTTTTACGTCAAATTTGAATGCAGTAGTTCATGTAATTCTATTTGTAATGCCTTAGTTTCTTATGTATGCACTTGGGTTCTTCTGCAGGGTCACGGTGCAGCAAATGCACCAAGTCATGTTTCAACCATATATCAATTGCCTTGAAGTTTGTCCTTTGACGTCTGATCAATATATTGACATTTTTATATTCATTGTTAAGATCTGGAAGTTAGTTCACAAAATTCCCAGGTGATGTCGTTGGATAGACGACGTATTCTGCCACACAGCTTAGTACGTGAGCTGCTAGCTGCGGGAGCGGCTTACGGGTGAACTGTGTGTTCTAAGACTTCGCAGTTTGGTTGAAATCAAATTTTAATTACAATCGCAACACTAAAAAGTTTCGAATTGTATATTTCTTTAAAGAAACTAACGTAAGCAGTTCCAAATTTTACAGTGTAGTTGTTTGTATAAACATAGATTAAACTTCGTATGCAGACTAATGAAAGCGACGAGCACCGGTTACTTACTTCAGAGATGATTTTATTCATCTTCAAGGTAATATATATTCATGAACTTTCATAATTCTTTAAGGTTTCTTGTTTGTACGTCATAATTCTTCTACAATTACTGGCATTTTGGACTTTTTCCATCGTCCTAAAATTCCGGACGATGGCAAAAGCCCAAAACTCCAGTAATTGTGTGTGTCATCCACCATCGTCAGAACCATTTAGAATCTAATAATTCTTCTAGACTGTTTATGTAATTTATGTGACACTTGAAATGTTGGTTTCTAACAGCTTCCTACAAGTAAACGTGTTCTATTTAAACCTCCAATTCGAATGATTATTTCCGATTAATATTATAATTAAATCAAAGTAAACTATAAAACCGAATAGGATCGGTTCCGGAGATACACTGTTTAAATCTCGGCTGAGTTACCTTCAATCCTGAAAGAGATTTTTCCATGATTTTCTTCAGTATTTCCATACTCATCCTGGGGTAATACCTTTACTAGATAGGCTACGATAGCCTAAACAGTCCTTACCTGCTTACAACCCATGTTCATCCTCCCATATCCTTCAACACCAAGGAATTTCTCTGGTTGAAATTGTGTTTTTAAATTATAAAACAGTCAGTTACTCAAACTTTGGAAGCTACATTTTAACGTAACTTTCTCCATAGTCGTGTAAAGGTTACACCGTTGAGGCGGTGTAACTAGCCTTGCTTCTGAAAACACGGGATCACATGAATGAGAGGATGGCATAAGAAGGGTGGTCCTTTTTACGCTTATATTTTTTCTGACAGTTATCTTTTCCTTTTGTCTTAGAAAGATAGGCTTATACGCCTGTTCCGACTGCTGTACATGATTTACCCATATCTCTGGCACGCGGTAGCGTAGTTGGTTGAGGCACTATGCTAAAAGCCGGAAGGTCGCGGGTTCGAGTCCAGACGTGGTGTAATTGGATTTTTTCAATTGGCCTAATCCTTCCAGCCGCACTATGGCCCTGGGGTCGACTCAACCTCTAACAAAATGAGTACCAGGAATTAATTAAATAATTTTCTTGGGGAGTAAAGCGCGGCCGGCGCGTAAGGCTGACAACCTTACCGCCATCTTTGAGCCGATTGTCTAGATAATGTGGGAACCTCAACGTCTCACAACTCTATGGGCTTTCACGGCCTGGTACAGGGATAGCGTTACTTTTATTTTTTTTTTACCCATATCTCTACTTCCTGCCGGACGTAATATAATATAGAATTTGATAATATTTCCTCTGCCATGTTGGGGTTGTTACCCTGCTTTCTCTACTTCTTTCTCTCTTTCTAAAAATCCGGATTTAATTTCCATAAGTAAGAGAAAAAATGTCAGAATATTACGTACATTCTATGATGCAAGTCATACAATTTTTTTATTCACGCCATGACTTTCATATTTCTCGAATGAACAGTTATATTTCGGAATTGTGCGTGCACTTCCATCACACAGTTTCGGAGTGAGAGTCAGTATTATAAATACAAGTAGATTTACGCGAAATTTCCCCCAACTAAATATTTTGATGTCATTGTAATTAATAATATCAGAGAAATGTAATATTTTTAAATGTGCGAGGTATAATTCGTACGATATTCAAACACGTTTTTGTTATTTCCTTTTATAATCTGACTACAATCAACATCGAACTTGATTTAGAATCATTATAAGGATTTTGAACGGTCTAGGAAACCGAAATTAACGGCCGTGGGGATCCGTTGCGTTGACCACGCGACACCCTCTATCCGCTAAAGTTGGCACTAACTTCGCCGATGAGCGGCGGTCGCTCGGTCGGTATAGTTCGCTTGCGGACTAAAACCACGGAGTTTTATAAGGATTTTGAATCATGCCTCCTATTATAGCTTATTGAAGAACTGAATTTATAAATCCTAAGGGAAGAAAAATATTTAGAACCTACATAATTGTAGGCCTACAGCTTCTGGTGTTCTCAAATTCATGTACATATAAGATGAATGGTACGTGTATAGAATTTCATATGTAAATTTAATCCTCTTTCCTATCTAGGTTGTTCCTTCTTTTTTATTTTAAAATATTCTCTCATTTATTGTGACCTAAATGTTCTTATTTATTTGTTTTTGAAGCAATATTTAAGTGCATTTTAATATTTTTACCTTGACCTGTTCCGCATCTTCGTGTTCCGGACCTATGGAATATTTAAGTTTATATAATTAACCTAATTTATTTCCCAAAAGTCACGCAATTTACGTTCCAGAGTGAAGTAATGAGTACTCTTGCGTGACACGTGTCTGCAATCTTGCTCGAAGATGTCCCTCTCAAGATTTTCTGTCCTGTTTTCCATAAAGATACTGGAAACAATGATGACTCCCTCCCGGCCGAGCTCATATTCAGAATTCATTATATATATTTCAGAATCTAACACTAACATTCATGATTCAGTTGGGTGTAGTCCTGTCTGAGGTTTTCCTTATGTGAATGAAGCGGAAGCAGATTTAGAAGTTCACGAGGCTTACTGACGATGCGAAGAACAATAAATTCACAATTACTTAATTGTTTTTCCACACATTTATTACACATAATCTGTTGAATCTGCAATGAATGTGTATGTTCAATAAGTACTCGCTCGTGAATGAGTCATGCCCAGTGGCGTAACTCATACACTCTTTTTTTTTTTTGTTCACTTAGGTATTGTTGCAGTTGTTTGTATTTCTCTGTAATTGTTGTAGTTGTTAATCGTATTTGGTTTGTATTCATTGTGGTAGGATGTCCTTATTGTTGTGTTTTGTGTATTGTGTTTTGTTTGAACGTGTTGTCACTTAGTGTAATGTGTGTTACTTGTCTGTTGTGTCCTATTGTGTACTACTGCCACCGGGCTAAAACCCAATTGCAGTATAATAAATAATATATACATATATCATTTTGATTCTTGTATTGGGGTTTTACTCAGGTCTGTCTCGTGGAGCTAAGACGGTGTATCTTTTCAGACTATGTGTAGTTTCGCTATTGTCCAGTAGGTTCACTGCTAGTGCATTAGTGTGGTCGGTCTGTCTATCTATCTATCTATCTATCTATCTATCTATCTATCTTTTGTTGAACCTTGGCCGCTTTTTCAGAATCTTGGTCTTTTTCACAGTTTTTCCACACCTTGGCCGGATGATCAGCCCGTCGCAAGGTCGCTACCTGCACACGGGACATCACAAACAGAATAAACGAAAACAGACATCCATGTCTCAAGTGGGACTTGAACTCACGATCCCAGTGTTCGAGCGGGAGAAGACATTTCATGCCTTAAACCGCGCAGCCACTGTGATCGGCTTCCAGCTTTTATATGTCCCGAGAGGAACACTTTCACTTTCTTAAGTCTGTAAAAAAGTATTTTGTCAACATACATTGACATCGGGGCTGAAGACAATGTATTTTCTTCACAGCCTGTATCTGACCTTTAAATTGCAATTGGAGGTTGCACGAACGGAGACTGCTGGTTTATGATTTTATACTGAGGGACTGTTTTATATTCCTACAGGACTCATGCACTCCAGATGAAGTATGAATGGTGATCCCGGACAGTTAACTATTCTACGTTTGAATTACGTCATTGAGAAATGGATCGTCAAGGCGCAGGCTGAAACAATTGACAGTTTAATTATTTCTCGGAAACTCATTTACAAACTTATCAGCCGTTCACTTTTATATTCTGCAAGAAAGTAGTGCAAGAAGTAGTTCAAGGTAAGGATTTCGACTAAATATTGTAACACCACTAATTACATGGTAACCTATTCTCTCTCTCTCTTTCTCTTGGAGCATAGGGCTCACTTCTCAGTGTCATGATCATTTTACAGTCGGTAGTACTCCTTGGACGGGTGATCAGCTCGTCTCAAGGCCGCTACTTAAAAGCAGAATAAACACATACACACACAAAATATTCATGCCTTGTGTGGGATCCGAACCCACGATCCGAGCGAGCGAAGACAGTACATGCCTTAGACCGCTCGGCTACCGTGACCGGCAGTGTATAAGAATAATATATAAGAATTCAGTTCGTACCTCACAGGAAACAGATCCGAACCCACGATCCCGGCTTCCGAGCGAGCGAAGACAGTACATGCCTTAGACCGCTCGGCTACTGTGACCGGTATATGTTAACTTGGAATTATAGATATTTGCGGAAAGATAACAAAGCAAAGTTGGATACGAAGATGTGTTATATAAAGAAGTTAAATGAAGCGGAAATTAAATTATTATAATCAGATTCATATACAGAGTATATTGCGACTTTTAAAAGGTCACATGAGTTTCCTTTGAAAAATTTTGAAGACGATAACAGTATATGGAACTTAATCGTTACATACTGTATCTTCTTGATTATGATAATTAAGTAGCCTAGTAGATGGGTATAAACATTATGGATGAAGGCACTAAAAAATTCGCATAATGTGTGTGTGTGTGTGTGTGTGTGTGTGGGGGGGGGTATCCAGCTGGGTTCACTCGGCACGTCGGCCACTGATTGGTCTATTGTACCTGCCCCGGGTGATTATGATAATGGAGAATTTGGTGGAATGTAGATTGGCAGGGGAAACCGAAGTATTCGGAGAAAACGTGGCCCAGCACCACTTTGTCCACAACAAGTCCCACTTGAAATAGACACGGGCTCGAACCCTGGTCGCTACGATGGGAAGCCAGCGACTAATCGCTTGAGCTATGGCGCGGCCAGGGAAGTTCTTAACTCAAACCCAGAATAGGGATGCATATTATGCCTCTTCAACTTCGGTACCTATGAATTTACCAGACAATACTGTGTCATAACCAGAAAGCTTCAGTTAGAATAGGATACGTTTCAGCAGAAGGAAGTTGCAGTGTTTAAAGTAAAAGTAAAGCTATCCCTGTAACAGGCCGTGAAGGCCCATAGGGTTGTGAGACGTTGAGGGTCCCACATTAGCTAGACAATCGGCTCACAGATGGCAGTGAAGTTGTCAAACTTAAGCCCCGGCCGCCTTTTACCCACCAGGAAGGTTCCTGGTATTCATTTCTGTTAAAGGCTGAGTCGACCCCAAGGGCATAGTGCGGCTGGAAATATTAGGTCAATTGAAAAATCAAATTACCTCATCGGGAATCGAAACCGCGACTTTTCGTTATGTAGCATAGTGCCTCAACCAACTACAGTTCAAGAGTATTTTTGTTAAACCAGAACACATCATTCTGTGGGCTCCGCTTGCTACCTGTTTCACGCTGGTATATTGTCTTATTTTTCTACCTTGAAGATGGAGGCGATATGTTCCTCCGAAACGTCGGCTGACTTTCAGTGAGCTACACAGCATCATATCCCTGAAGAGAGAACTCGTAAAAGTTTTGTTTATTTATTTATTTATTTATTTATTTGTGGTTTATTTAACGTTGCGTTCAATTTCCAAGGTTACATACTCTCAAGGATTTAGTTATGTGGAACCTCATGACTCGTGGTATGCGGGTTCAAATACCCGGCGGAGGTCGTCGAATTTTTAAGGGCGGAAAAATTCACGGAACAAGTCCTCCGGGAGGGACTTTAAGCTGTGTGTCCCGT